CATGTGGGAAGAGACTAGTCAGGTGTAAAAACCAGGAAACGGCTTCATTGGGAGCCATCTTACAGTCTTGAAAGAGAGCTTCTATTCCCCAAACCTCAACTACACCTTGGGGTGCAGGGCACAAATGTCACTGTTTGAAAATTCAGAGGCACACAGCAAACAGAGAATATACTCTGTCCTGGGAAACCATCTTTTTGTTTTTCTTATGTAAAATCTATTATTTGTTACCACTTATATTTCCCTCTTTACTCTGGCTGTTGGGAAGCTCGGAGTCAAATGTGAGCCTGTGCTGACAGTAATCTCCTTGAGCTCATGCCATCCTGAAGTTATTTCTTCCAGTCATTCAATATTTCCTCCAATTCCTTCAACTTCTGGTTTTTTGCTTTTTTTTTTTTTTTTTTTGGAGAGGTTTTTGCTATAGGAAGTATGTGCTCGCCAGAAAGACAGAGAGAGACAGAAAGTGAGAAATCGCCCCCCAGGGGGAATGGTCACACCACAATCCCTTCTCCTCCATTCTCCTCTCGGGATCTTGGACACACATGCACATGTGCCTGGCATGAGTTTTAAGCCACCAGGTCCGGGACTCGAACCATGGTCAACTACATGGAGTCCGGTGACATACCCATTACGCCAACTGCTGGTTCCTCAACTTTTATTCTACCCTTTGTATTTTGCATTTTTGAAATTCCTCTCAAAGCTTCTGTGGATTGAGGTGAAGTACATATACATAATAAAATTAAGTCTTTGCCTGACTGACGACCTGCAGTACATGTGCCATCTAGTGGCAAAAGGAACAACTGCCAGAATGAAAACTTTCCTGGTTTTTCAGATTTATTTTGGCCAAAGAGTGGGACTTAGTGGGCGTGGAAAAAGTAGGAAGACCAGCACCCCTCTCTATGCTTTCTCATGGGATCAAGATCATGGAAGAGTAAAGAGACTCCAGGCAGGGTCAAGGATCCAATGGTTAGAATCCAAGATGATTTACTGAGATACGAAGCAGCAGTCAAAAACTAGTGAAGACCTTGCAAGTGAGGCAGGCACTGACAGTGAAAGGTGTTAGGAAAGGTAAACAATGAAAAGATACCAGATCCAAGCAAATGATCACTTGAAAGGGGCTTAATGTGGGTTGATTGCAGATGCGATCCACCATTCTTTAAACAGTCACATTACCTGTAGCCAAGGGCCTTAAGTCTAAAGTCTTCATTTTACTCATGAGAAAACTGGGGCCACATAGCCTGTTAGTCACAGGTCCAGCATGACTCCTAGGCCACTCCTCTTTCCCCAGCACCACACTGCCCCTAATCACGTGTTTATTTGGGCTTTCTTTTGAACAAGGGTTTCAGAACAAAAATAAGATCATCACATAAAAATGTTGGTTCCAAGGAGTTATTACTCACTGCTTTTGCAGCTGCCCCTTGACATACCTCAAAAAACATCAGAATGGAGGAGGTAGTTATAAAGCACTAGTCTCATTAATCAGCCTTCATTGTATAGCAAAAACCATCCATTCACAATGATAGGGAATGATTCTAGATGCCAGTTGCAGTAGGTGAGGGAGCCCCAGTAGGGGGAAAAGGTGAGTTCATTCATCTACCCTGTTAGCCTTGCACCTGCTCTGGGCCAGATTCTAGGCAAGATGCAGACTAACATTACAAACAATGCACACCACGGCTATGTGCATCCCATCTGTCTCTACCCTGATGTGCTCTTGGGCAGAGCCTGAGTTACAACTGAGGCACAGCTTGGATCCAGAGGGCCCTCTAAGACCTAACCCAGGGATCTGCAGCCTTAGCCTGGAGTAAGAGATCACTGAGAGGGCTACAGAGATTGTCTAAATAGGAGCTTAGAACAGTACCATAGTGAACAGATACAGAACAATCATCTCAGAGAGTTCTATTAGATGACACTGGACAAGAGTACTCTTTCTAGATTTTCTTAAGTCCTACCAGTTCATCCAGGCTTTTCAAGGACTGCTATCAGCAGAGACTGGTAAGTGTCACTGAGTTCTAGGAAGACAGACTCTCAGTATGATGGCTCTTTCAGGTATGATGTCCTCAGAGATACAAATGACCTGCCATTGATAGAGGACATCTGGAGTTCAGCTCCTTAGTTTCCAGGCTTCTGTGCTGACAAAAGGTGCCAGAATAGGTGAAAGGATAACAGTGGAAGTGTTAGAGGGCTCAAAATTTGAGGTCAGAAAGACCTAGGTTCCTATCCCAGGTTTCTTGCTCTTAGTTGGGTGATCTTTGAGCACTAGGTGCCAGCAAAAGGATGCTAAGACCTACAACTGTTGTTAGGATTAAATGATAGCATCTGGCTAAATGCAGATTTCCTATTCATCACTAATCTTTACAATGGACAGGAGCCACAGGTTACCTTCTTTTCAGGTACCAGGCAGAGGCTAGTCATGGGTAGCAGTTCCACTCATTCTCTCAGTGGGTATTTACTACAAGAATACCAACTGTCTAACCCCGTGCTCTGCATCATACAGAGATAGAAAGCAAGCTTCTGTGAGGAGGAGCTCACTCTCTCTCATGGGAGAAACTGTTAGGCAAACCAATAATCATGTAGCAGAGGAGCCAGAAGTTCATTTAAAGCACACAGGGAGAACACGGATGAGGTGAATCTGAACATAGATTTCAGCCAAGGCAGAAAGCATGAACAGAAGTTTGCCTGCTCAGCAAGCACAGAGAGAGGGCATACAACAAGAAGATAACCGGGCATACAAAAAAGGAGACAGGAAAGCAAGGTAAATTCAATGATTGAGGTCCTTGACCACTGGGGTTGAGTTTCAACTAAAACCTGAAGGGAACACAAAGCCTCTAAAAGTGAGTAGTCATCATATTTGAGTACGGTAAGCACATCTATATTGTCAGTGTGGGATCCGTCTAGAAGAGCCAAGGCTAAAGGAAGTGTGGCCAGTTTCAATTCGTTACTCTCTGTTATACTCTGCCCCTACCTCTCTCTGCTCCAGTCCCAAGGGACTTCTCTGAGTTTCTTGAATAACAAAGTATCAAGCTGTTCTCAGTTCCAGAGCCTTCGCACCTGCAGTTTCCTGTGTTTGGATCACTCTTGGCTGTTATCAGCTTCCTCTTTTTCCCTGCCTTCAGGTCTGAGAACAAGCATTTTCTTCTTTTCTCTAATCTCTCAATTGAATTTATGTCCCCTTCCATGATTCTTCCTTGTAGCATCCAGTTCTTTTCCTAACACAATTTGATATTTTATTCCTACTTGGACTATACGATCAGTATCTGTCTTCCCTGATAGACTGTAAACTCCACGAGGATGAGCTCACATTTAACACCGTGCCTCCAGCACCCAGCACAATGATGGCACTGTGCTAACACTCTCAATAAACACTGGATGGGTAACACGGCTAAAATAGCACGGATGGTCATGGTTTCACCTCAAGAAGTAGCAGCAAACCTGAAAAAAAGGACACTTAACCTCACAGGGAATCGGCAGGTTTGCGACAGGGATCAGAATTCGTTTCGAATGCACCCAGTTCTGCCTCCACTTCCAGCCGTACAGTCTGGGCAGTTAACAACCCTCGATCCATCATAACGGCCTTTCGCATCCACAGAATGAGAACGACACCCCTGCAACTAGGCAGAGTAAATGTCCTCCGAGGCAGAGACGGCCAGGCGAGGGCCGGGCTGCCGATGTGGCGGGGGGGGGGGGGGCGGGGGGGCCGGGCCGGCCGATGTGGCGGCAGAGGAGCTGACGCTCCACGAGAGCGGAAGTCGCTGCCCGATGAAGTCCAGACGTGAAACGGATCCCCCATAGGCGCAGCGCCATGGTTCTTTGTAACCTTGAAGAGTTTCCGACAGGATGCACCTCGGAAGTAACTTAGGGCCGTTATCACTTCTTTCTTTGACACGGTTTCGGCATTTCTCAGATTTCTCTACTTTAAATCTCTAGTCTACAGGGCACGAGAAAAAAATCCCCGGCAATGGGATAGCCAAGAGGGCGCTGGGGAGACGCGTGTGCACAGCGCCACCTGGCGGGACGGAGGCGCCAGTGCGGAAGGCCCGCCCGCCGCCTCCTCTTTCCGGCTGGTTCCTGCCCCACCGCGACCCCGAGGCCTCTACGTTACTACATCTCCCATAGGACCCCAAAGCTTTTGCGCAAAGGAAGGGACCGCGCTGTGGCACGTCTCCCTGGCATCGAAAGTGAGGGAAGTTCTAATCTACAAGATTCGGCCTTTCCCCGCCGGCTTCTCAAGTCCCACACACCTTGGGCAAACCTCGTTCCGCCCCTACCTATTCAGGCAGGAGGAAGTCGGCGCCGCGAGGCCTTCTGGGACTTGTAGTTTCCAAGAAGACTTCTGGGAAACGGAGTCAAAGGCAGCAACGAACCTTTTAGCCAATTACAGACGGGCTCTGGCCGTTTCATGTGACCTTCGCAGGCTACGGTTCCTGGGCTCTCTTTTGCCAGAGCTGTTTAAGGAGGGGTTCTGAGTTCTGGACAGTGGTTTCTGCCACCACCTGGACTCGGCTTCTGCGCTGGCCTCCCTAGTCCCCGCTCCATCCGTGTTGCCCAAACGGGTCACTGGCTTCTACTTGCAGATATTTAAACGTGTCCTGCCTCTCCGTGACCTCGAGTTAACTGGCAGGGTCTTTAGGACTTACTTTGCCCTGCTCTTCCACACATGGCCGCTGCAGCAGTCAGAATGCCCCTTTGAGCTGCTCCAAAGCTTTAGTGAATAAGGCATTCACCAGTTATGCGATGGCCTCATCTTTGGAGACCTTTCCCACTACCTATTCTCACTCTAACACCAAGTCCTCTCCAATAACCGTCACTTCCGAAATGGAAATCCCAAACCCCTCTATACATCTCGCTATTAGTCCCCTCCCAGTTTTCGGTTTCCTCTCCTACCCAGCCTCGAGCCTAAGAATCCCATCCTGCCTCATTTCCTTCTGTAGTAACCCCCAAATTCTAGAGTAATACAATTGCCTACTTTTAGTTTACTGAGTGCTCCTGGAGAGGAAAGATAACATCACCTAATCTTACTGATTGCTGCCACTAGATCAAGTCTCAGACTCACTGGGATGGTGACAGCATTGGAGGTAAGGAAACTATCCAATAGAAGCAGGGAGTCTGCTGCAGAGAACCCTGGTGGGAGTACAGGCTTTGGAGGGACTGCCCTTGTTGATTTCCACGTCAACCCCGCCTGATATTTGTCCTTCTATAACCATGTGAAAAATGGAATGTAAAACAAAGCAAGGTCTTAGTTCTGAGAATATTCTAGAATGACAATCTGGTAAGAAAGAAGACACTGCAAAGATTCAAGCAGAAATGTGAAGTAACAAAAATAATGAAATAAATAGCAGGAAATATAGCAAAGGCACTAAAAAGAGCTAAATTAATCCAGAGTGCAAATGATAAAGTCCTTAAAAAGTGTTATGATGGAAAGAGATTGACTGTTTTTGGTGCAAAGCCAGACATAGGCAATGGTTTGTTAGCTTTTCAGAAAGATTAAAAGATTATACTCAAAAAAATTTCCTTAAGAAGCGGCAGATGTAAGAGAACCCTGGAGATTAGTAAGCACTCCAGCTTCAAAAAAAAAAATTTTTTTTTAAGAAGTCTTTTTTCACGGGGGTGGGGTGTGGGATTCAAAACAGATATGTGTGGGCACATCAGAGCTCCCCTAATGTGTTGAATCTGTGGAGACAGAATCCCTATGCAGATTGGGCTCCTGCTGTCACACAGGCCATTAAGTAAGGTTTGAGCCACAGGTGGAGACATGCACAGCCTGAAACTTCTCAGGAAAAGTGCTGCCAAGTACTGGAGAGAAATTTGATTTTATTTTGTTCTCTTTTAATGATAATGTTTTATTAATTTACATCTTTCATTCCTCTATACCTTGAGATCCATTTGTCATGCAAAAAGTCCACAAAATACCCTAAGCCATACCTGTAGTGTTTTCACATACCACATAAGACTTACACAATTAAGAAAAGCAGCAAACTGGTGAAATAACAGTTAACTGGATAAGGTATTGTTTTGAAAGCCATTTTCTACACATCAACCTTACCACCGGATTCTAAATTTAAAGAGCTGCTGTTTACCAACAGGAAATTACAACTACATTTACATGTGTCTCAGGGGAAAATGCATCCAGAGAGTAGCCACGTAGTTGTATATGCAAGACAAATAACCAGAACAAAACAGAACAATTCTGGACTCCCACATGACATTAATATTTTAGGAGTACAGCACAAGCACCCCAAACAACAAGAAAACCTATGCTAATAGAAAAATCACATAGGCATCAATTTTGATTAAGTTAAAGCAATGCATCTCAAAGTATGCAGGACTAGTTGGTTTTTTGTTTGTTTTAATTCACTGCAACAAATATTTTTGTAAAATAGTTTATTTCTAGACAAAAAAAGAAATGATAATGAATTACAAAATACAAAATGAAGGCCCTACGTTTTAATTATTAGCTAAAACATACATTAAATCACCTGAAATTGCAGTAGTTTCCCACTTAGGTTCAATTCTATATATAGTTCGTAGCACACCAAATCACCAACTCACACTTACCCAAACACCATATTTTGAATAGCACCAAGATAAAGCATCTACAAAAAGGAGATCCTCCACAAGCATCTTCCATATCACGCCCTGACTCGAACTGTCATTATTTTTACAGTTTTGACTCTTTTAATAATAAAAAATTTATTTAATGGTCTATTTGTTGTGATTTAGGGGCTTCCTGTCCAGGACTTGAACTGTGATCAGCCTTGTGGGAGTCCAGCACCTCGACTACCACACCGTGACCTGTGTCAGTCCCTCAGTCCAGCACCTCGACTACCACACCGTGACCTCTGTTGGTCCCTTTTTAAAGTTTTGACTTTTATTGCAGTACAGTAATTATTATGTATAGTTTAAAAAGTCAACCAGGAGTGCAAGATTTAAAAAATAAGAGCCCCCTACACTTTTTTTTATTTCCCAACTTCTCCTTCCATGATCTTCAATAAGAAGCATATAATGCTATTTAACTGACGTATGTCGTTCCAAGGTATAAATAATAATACCCATCACCCACCTTAAAGAATTACATCCATAGTTGAAACTGTTAATCCTTCTGACTTCCTTCCCTTCTGCCAAAAGGAAACTACACCGAATTTGGTGTTCATTATTCCCATACACCTTTTTATAGTTTTACTAGGTATGTCTATATTCCCTTATATATATTTTTTCATGTTTATAAGTTTTATAAAAATGGTACTTTCTGAAACTTTTTTAAACAATACTTCTGAGAATTATCCAGTGACACATATAGTTGTGATTCATTAATTTCCTCTGTTGCACAGTATCTCATGATATAAATATACCACAATTTATATATATCTATCCTCCTGTTAATAGATACTTGAATTGTTCTCTTTTTTTTAATCATAAGCAGTTACAATGAACATTCATGTAAATCTCTCTTCTGCAAATGTCTTCTCTTACATATGTTCATGAACCTGGGATGATACCCATAAGTGATACTGTGGAGATGAAGGAAATATGCATCTTCATCTTTAGATATTGCCTAGTAGGTCTCAAAAATGTTTGTACCAATTTGCACTTACTTTTGCCATGTGTGAGAGCTTCCATGACTTCATATGACTGCCAATATTTGAAGTTGTCAGACTTAAAATTTTCCCAATCGTGGGCCCAGCTGGTGGCATGGTGGTAAAGGGCGCTGGACTCCCACATGGCCAACCACAGTTTGAGTCCTGGACCTAGTAGTTTGCTTTCTCTCTCTCTATCTCTTGCTCTCGCTCTCGCTCTGTCCCTCTCTGGTCAAATTAAAATAAATAAAGTTAAGTTTAAAAATTTTTTCCCAATCTGATATATTTTAACTGGTGCCTTATTGTGCTTTAATTTGCATTTCCATGATTCATAACAAGATGGAGCATCTTCTCATGCATTTATTGGCCATTTTGGTTTCTTTCTTTTAAAAATTTTTGCTAGAAGGTACATGCATTTGCTGGAGAGAGACAGAGAAAGAGGGAAAGTGAGAAAGCATCCCCATGGAGGATGGTCATGCCACAGTCCCTTCTCCATTTCTGCTTTCAAGTTTTTGAGCACACATGAACGTGTGCCAGCATATTTTTCAAGCTACTGATTTACCTGTTTATTTATTTGCTGTAGAATAGGGGTGCTCTCAGGAGAGAGACAGGGAAATCACCCTCCTCTCTTATCCCCCAAGAGGCTTGCCAGGTGGCAGTCCTTCTCCATTCACCTCTTGGGATTTGGGCAATTCATGCATGCACATGTGCCTGGTGTGTTTTTCAAGCTACTAGGTCCTGGACTCACCACACAGTTGGCTATATAGGATCCAGCCTCGTTATAGACAAAAAAAGAAATGATAATGAATTACAAAATACAAAATGAAGGCCCTACGTTTTAATTATTAGCTAAAACATACATTAAATCACCTGAAATTGCAGTAGTTTCCCACTTAGGTTCAATTCTATATATAGTTCGTAGCACACCAAATCACCAACTCACACTTACCCAAACACCATATTTTGAATAGCACCAAGATAAAGCATCTACAAAAAGGAGATCCTCCACAAGCATCTTCCATATCACGCCCTGACTCGAACTGTCATTATTTTTACAGTTTTGACTCTTTTAATAATAAAAAATTTATTTAATGGTCTATTTGTTGTGATTTAGGGGCTTCCTGTCCAGGACTTGAACTGTGATCAGCCTTGTGGGAGTCCAGCACCTCGACTACCACACCGTGACCTGTGTCAGTCCCTCTTTAAAGTTTTGACTTTTATTGCAGTACAGTAATTATTATGTATAGTTTAAAAAGTCAACCAGGAGTGCAAGATTTAAAAAATAAGAGCCCCCTACACTTTTTTTTATTTCCCAACTTCTCCTTCCATGATCTTCAATAAGAAGCATATAATGCTATTTAACTGACGTATGTCGTTCCAAGGTATAAATAATAATACCCATCACCCACCTTAAAGAATTACATCCATAGTTGAAACTGTTAATCCTTCTGACTTCCTTCCCTTCTGCCAAAAGGAAACTACACCGAATTTGGTGTTCATTATTCCCATACATCTTTTTATAGTTTTACTAGGTATGTCTATATTCCCTTATATATATTTTTTCATGTTTATAAGTTTTATAAAAATGGTACTTTCTGAAACTTTTTTAAACAATACTTCTGAGAATTATCCAGTGACACATATAGTTGTGATTCATTAATTTCCTCTGTTGCACAGTATCTCATGATATAAATATACCACAATTTATATATATCTATCCTCCTGTTAATAGATACTTGAATTGTTCTCTTTTTTTTAATCATAAGCAGTTACAATGAACATTCATGTAAATCTCTCTTCTGCAAATGTCTTCTCTTACATATGTTCATGAACCTGGGATGATACCCATAAGTGATACTGTGGAGATGAAGGAAATATGCATCTTCATCTTTAGATATTACCTAGTAGGGCTCAATTTGCACTTACTTTTGCCATGTGTGAGAGCTTCCATGACTTCATATGACTGCCAATATTTGAAGTTGTCAGACTTAAAATTTTCCCAATCGTGGGCCCAGCTGGTGGCATGGTGGTAAAGGGCGCTGGACTCCCACATGGCCAACCACAGTTTGAGTCCTGGACCTAGTAGTTTGCTTTCTCTCTCTCTATCTCTTGCTCTCGCTCTCGCTCTGTCCCTCTCTGGTCAAATTAAAATAAATAAAGTTAAGTTTAAAAATTTTTTCCCAATCTGATATATTTTAACTGGTGCCTTATTGTGCTTTAATTTGCATTTCCATGATTCATAACAAGATGGAGCATCTTCTCATGCATTTATTGGCCATTTTGGTTTCTTTCTTTTAAAAATTTTTGCTAGAAGGTACATGCATTTGCTGGAGAGAGACAGAGAAAGAGGGAAAGTGAGAAAGCATCCCCATGGAGGATGGTCATGCCACAGTCCCTTCTCCATTTCTGCTTTCAAGTTTTTGAGCACACATGAACGTGTGCCAGCATATTTTTCAAGCTACTGATTTACCTGTTTATTTATTTGCTGTAGAATAGGGGTG